GCAACTTTGGCATCGTATTAGATCTGCGTTTTGGAAATTTGCGTGATGGTATTACTTCGTTAACTGCTGCCGGAATGCTTACTGCAGTTAAACGCATCGCATACCAGTATTCGATCTTTTGTGAAACAAATTACCGACCGTTACATCTGGTCCAATATGCACACAGAAATCCGACAATGGGCCAAAACCTGTCTTCGTTGTCAAACCAACAACATTCACTGTTACAACTCTTGATACTTTTTCATTCCCTAAAGTCCGATTCAGTCTGACTGGGAGCAGCAGTCCCATACCCAGGTCATTCACCTCCAAGTATCTCGGTATCTTTGTTTTCTATTATCTATCTTGGTTTACGCACGGTTGTGAAAATTTGTAGTCCTAGGAGTAACTTGTTTTTGGTTCCCCCTAGTTTAATATTTAAATGTGTAACCATGAATTACCTCCATTGGCTACACCACGCTGCTGTCACCTTACCCGCATTGTTACCGAAGGACTGCACACTAATGGTACGATTGCTAAAGCGCATTTCCAGATGCAGCGGTTTAGTTAGGAATTCTCCGGTGGATTTTCTCCTTTCTGGGCCTCTTAATGCACGCAATAATGTTTAGTACAAGAAACACACTGACCAGTTCCATTCACTTATCAGTGACCTTTCAAAAGCAATCTTTTATCTTCTGCGCACCCAAATTGCAAGGCATTGTTTTCCGCACTTCATCGCCTTGTAGAACTACGCTACCTGTCACGTTTGCCGCCCGGATTTTACTACTGGATATGCTATCAAAGTATGGAAACCGTGGCGGACTGTCATGATTTGCCAGCTGAATGTGATATATAGCGATACATCGTTCACCGTCCTGCGTGTTAAGAACGTTGCAGGGGGACAGAATTGGCCCCGTAAGGCACAACGTACACTAACAGCAGACGTGCGCGGCATAGCGTTTGGGTGTTATGGCGGATATTTTGATCTACTTATGAGTAAGGGATATTTAATGCAAAAAGTAGGGATCTGACTAAGTCACAAACCGTTAGTGGTCAAGGTTTCGAGTGCTGACTGGACCGAAGAATGCACACGACTGGGTAGCCTCGATAAGACGAAAAGACCGTCCAGTGATTTTCAGGCATGTAGAGGATTATCTGCTTTAGAGCTTGCTGCAATGAACCATCCCATCGCAATGAGGCTGGATCTTACCGTGGTGCAATGGTTTGTGTGCCTCAGCGATCCATTGAGCTACTCTGGGTGGTGCTTTTGCACCTTCAGAGGCACTCATACCAGATTGGTCAATGGTTAGAGGCCAGACAAACTCAGCCTCCTGGTCCTCCAGGCTGTGGGTTGGAAGGATGGTGGCACCTTATTCCTTAAAACGGACTCCTTGTAGCCCAACGCCAAACCCGCTGTCTTGCGATCAGGTTTTTGAACCAAAGGCTTTGGTTGAGAACCCTAATCGTTCTCCTGTCTAGGCCTGGGCAACCTGACAGTATCCTGCCCATGCAATACTATGAATACTTCGTCAAACAATTTTTTGATGCTCTGGCCACCGCAGAGGATAATCAACGATGCCCTAGCTGCTGCATCGTGCAGGGTGGATAGGGGTGTGGATGCTACTGCTCAAACCTTCCCGTCTTCTTATTCCCCTTTTCGCGCTTTTTCACCCTTATCGTCCCGTTCCAACTTCACTTTTATCCCCCCAGTTTTCAACCCTCCGATTCTTGGCCCTCCCCCAACATGCTTTGCTAGGCAATTATATTCTAATTTCAACTCACATGTGAACGCGGAGCGTCACTCCTCTCCTGTCGACAAGCCCATGTCCAACCAAGCGGTCCATTCCAGTTCATCGGCTTCCATTTGGAGCCCTCGATCCTCCTTCAGAATGGCATGCCTCAGTGTTCACACATTGCTTCCGATCGGTCAACAGGCAGCACTTGCCCGAACATTAAAGACCCTCTCGATCGATATCTGCTGCTTCTCAGAGACCCGCCTGCAAGACTCGAGCTCTGTGCTCCCTCTGCGATCCCATTCAGGTGACGCAAGCAGCAGTTTCGCATTGCCCCTGTCCGGTGACGATGCAGCTTCGACCACCGGCCAAGCTGGTGTTGGCATTGCCCTGAGTCCCCGGGCTGAAGCTACTCTGGTTGATTGGATTCCAATCAGTAGCCGGATGTGTGCGGTCCGATTGGCCGGCTCGTTCAAAGCTTCGAAGTCGCGCGGGACTAATATGTGTCTATTCATCATCGCTGCCTATGCGCCCACAAACTGTAGGGATTATTCGGTAAAGAACGACTTCTACCGCCAACTAACCCAGCGCATTCGTCACAGAAGAAGCACGAACACTGTTGTGCTGGCTGGGGATCTGTACGCACAAGTTGGAAAGCTGTCCACTGATGAAATGCATCTGGGCGGTCAGCACGGTGTAGGCTCCCGTAATGATAACGGTGAGCGGTTACTTCATTTGTGTGAAGATGCCCGCTTATTTCTTGCGAGCACTAACTTCCGACACAGCACCCGCCGGAAAGTGACTTGGTGCTCACCAGCCTCGAACCAGCCTTGAACACAGATCGATCACATTGCTTTAAGTTACCGATGGAGAGGCTTCATCCAGAACTGTCGCTCGATTTGGAGCACATGTGTGGACACCGATCATGCACTTGTATGTGCTGACATGCGGATGCGTTTTGGCGGACGCCCACGACGACGCTGTGAGCGCATTGACACCAGCCAACTGTTCTGAAGGCGTATCGAAGTATGCTGACATGCGAATTGAGTAATGGAGACAATTGATGGTCACTGGTCACGTGCTCGCCAGACCTTACTAGCAGCAGGCAAACCCTCATGTGGTATGTCTAATAGCCAACATGATTATTGGGTCTCTTCTCGGTCTCTGGAACTTATCGACACTCTCCAGCATATCCCGGCTGGAAGCAAACACCATGAAACTCGCAAAGAGCTCCAGGAAAGACTCCGTGCTAGCCTGAAGAGAGACCGCGAATCTTGGTGGTCTCATCGTGCGTCAGAGATGGAAGTGGCCGCTGCCCTTGGCAACCATCGCAAGTTATTCCGTCTGATACAGGAAAGGGGCGGCAGGGGACGTGTTGTTAGTGAAACTATACGTGACGTGAGTGGACAGCCTATCCACAATTTGTCAAGACGTTTGGAGAGTTGGGCTGAGCCTTTTGAAAAGCAATTTAATCGGCTAGAATTGTTCGGTTCTTCACCGGCCAGTGATCGCCCTGATTCGTGGGCTATCCCTTTGGATCCACCCTCTCGTTCAGAAGTCGAACGTGAGATCGGACTGTTGAAGTTGTACAAAGCCGCAGGACCAGATGATCTTCTTCTAGCCCTCTTCAAATTCGGAGGCTCTACTCTTGTTGAAGATTTACATGAATTACTAGTGAAACTGTAGGAGCAGGAGATTGTCCCAATCGACTGGAGCCGCTCCGTTATTATTCCCATCTTCAAAAGAGGCTCGCGTTTGGAATGTGACAACCATAGAGGAATCAGTCTGATCTCCATCGCCTCCCAACTTTTCGCCTCCATAATTCTTCACAGACTGACTGGCGCTCATGAAAGCCAGATTAGCGAGTAGCAAGCCGGGTTTCGTCGTGGTCGTGTCTGCATTGACCACATCTTCACGTTGCGTCAGTTGTCAGATCACCGTCACACATATTGGCGGCCCACCGTAGTCGTGTTCCTCGACATCAAAGGTGCCTTCGATTCGGTTGATCGATGTGCCCTTTGGAATTGTCTACTCAGGAAAGGTGTGTCAGGGAAAGATGTAAATATTATCCAAGCATTATATGCGCGTAGCATCAGCAGTGTGAGGGCTTGCGGCAAGCTGTCGCCACCCTTCAATATCTCCAGCGGTGTGAGACAACGATGCCCGCTGTCACCTTTCCTCTTCAACTTCGCTATTGACGAAGTCACGGAGATCGCATTTACAGGACATGACTTGGAAGCTGTGGAGCTACTCTCAGGAGAATGACTTCTTGACTTGGAGTATGCATACGACAATGCTCTCATCTGTGACAGCTCCGAGACGTGCCAAGCCGCGCTGGACAGATTAGCACTGGCTGTCAGCCGTTTCGCGCTTTGCTTCGCACCATCGAAATGCAAAGCGTTCCTCCAGGATTGGCAGGGTTCGCCCCCTGTGCTGACCCTTGGTGGCGATCAGCTAGAAGTCGTTCGGTAAGCCAACTACCTGGGAAGTTGTATGAGCGCCGTTGGGATGGAAGACGAGATCACGAACCGTATAGCGAAAGCTCGAAGTGCTTTTGCTAACCTTCGCCACCTATGGCGGCGGCGCGACATCACTCTCGCCCTGAAGGGTAGAGTGTACAATGCAGCGGTACGTTCGACCCTACTGTACGGTTGCGAAACCTGGACCCTAAGATCGGCGGACATAAAGTGGCTAGTTACGTTCGACCATCGGTGCCTTCGCAGTTTGGCTCACATCTGGTGGGAACACCGCGTGAGTAACGAGCGTGTTCGACGCCTTGTTTATGGCACAGGAAAAGGATCTGAACCACCCAGCACCGTTGTTTCACTGATGGCTGGGTCACGTGTTGCGCATGTCAGCCCACCGACTTCCAGGACGTGCGTTGTTTGCTCACCGGGGATGTGGATGGAAGAAGAGGAGGGGTGGCCAAGCGATGACTTGGTCCAGAGGAATGAAGACCCTCACTTCTGATTTGGCCTCGGTTGGAGCTTCACGGCTCCCTGGTTGGGGTCCAAAAACGGCGAACACGTTTGGCTGGAAACACTTGCTGACATGACAAGGAGCCAACCTCAGTGGCGTTCCTGTTGTGTGTTTCTTTGTCTCTCCCCATCCATTTTAGCCTCCCCCTCCACTTACGATATCATTTCTTAGCGTAAAACATAATAATTTTTCTATTTGCTTAGTAGCCTGCTGGTAGCTCAGCTGGCATGCAACTTTGTATTTATTTTCCTTTTCCTTTATGTATTGCGGCACAGTAGCTGAGGTGTTTCCCACCTCCAGCTGACGTGTATAATGAATGATGATGATGATGATGATGATGATGATGATGATGATGATGATGATGATGATGATGATGATGATGATGATGATGATGATGATGATGATGATGATGATGATGATGATGATGATGATGATGATGATGATGATGATGATGATGATGATGATGATGATGATGATGATGATGATGATGATGATGATGATGATGATGATGATGATGATGATGATGATGATGATGATGATGATGATGATGATGATGATGATGATGATGATGATGATGATGATGATGATGATGATGATGATGATGATGATGATGATGATGATGATGATGATGATGATGATGATGATGATGATGATGATGATGATGATGATGATGATGATGATGATGATGATGATGATGATGATGATGATGATGATGATGATGATGATGATGATGATGATGATGATGATGATGATGATGATGATGATGATGATGATGATGATGATGATGATGATGATGATGATGATGATGATGATGATGATGATGCAAGGAACCATCAGTTCTGTAATGGTCCATTGTGCTCCTCACGCATATATTTTTTATTGAGATTATCCTCCAGTGCATTCTCAGAAGCAATACAAGTGCTGCAAACGAGCCTTGTTTGACTTGGATTGAAGGTGAAGTTAAGAATTTGGTCACCTCTGCCCGCTGGTAGTCGCTTAGCGTCCTTTAACCATAGTGCGAAAGCAAATAGATTCTCTTTGTGGTTCATTCAGCGAAGTCTGGCATGCCAAACACTGGCGCACGTCGGCACAATAACTTAATTAGCACTAATAATTAAAACTAGTTTTGGAAACAGTGTATGCCGAGAGCATAAGATAGAGGCAGCATGCGTCGCATGACTTCACCAGGGGATTCACGGAAATATTATGTGCACTATTTCAAAACTCCATTAGTGTAATTTAGCACCTGTTTATCCTGTCCGCCCTCCGGACATGATTACTTTTCTGCGGGTATTATTAATCAAACACCACCAGCCTTTTAAAATCATCAGCATATGATGCTTATATTGCAGCACAATGATGCAACAACTAAGTTAACTATTTATTGACACGAGAACAGTCTGCCAGACCAATTACGCAGCTGCACAAGTGTGAATCATGGTTCCTTCTCACGAGACATCGCACATTCTAGAGGTTGCTAAAGACACATCTATGTGGAAACATTTTAGTGTTGCTCATCCCAACACTGGGATGAGCAACGCTAGAATGTTTCCATTTTACTTACGGTCTTTTTGATCGGAATGACCGAGGTCCACCTCAAGTGAACCGAGGGCTCAATAGAGGTTGCTTGTAGCAACCCAACCACCAGCGGATTCTCCAAGTCTAACTTTCACATCTATGTACTTGTGCGGCATGCACCTTTGAATGATTCTTGCATATTTCATCCTGTTGATCCGCTTCTATCTGCCCGATTCAGATCGGCTAGGATTCGTTCTGTAGCTGTTGTGATACTTACTCGCAGCTCCAACAGTTTGCTTGGAGATAATTCTGGAGGCTCCAATAATGCCATATTTGTTTGATTTACTACATTTTCGACGAATACCTTATCGGTTCCTCAGAGATCAGACGCCCTACCGATCACTTGCGATCGGCTGGTTCCGTTAGGCTCACGTTGTTCGGTGTGGTCTAACTCTTTGTGTCCATTACTGTTTCTACCCGCTTCCCTATTTTGTGGTTTGCAAGTTTTCCGGGATATCAGTGACTCCCGACTCCATGCAAAATCTACGCTTTATTAGATAATACTGGTCATACTGAAAAATTGTAAACACCTTCCTTAGCTGACGAATTGATATTCCACAGTGTTCGCAGGAGACTCAGGCGCTGAAAACTCACATGGGTCATGAAAAACATTCAGTAGTCCAATGATTAGTGCCACAAACATGTGATAGAGATACCCAGATAAGCAAACAAGTCGACAACTTCAACTGCCTGTTTGATGATGCTAGGAACTAGCGGTTCTGGCCTAATCATGTGGCAGTATGTTGTCCATTGATGGAGCAAAACCCGCGTCAAAATGTTGTGTACTGTGCATCATCCTAAGCATTAACAATTGTACAAAAACTGGAGTTGACACAAGCAGCGGTATACTGTACGCGTGCTGTAAGTGTGGTACTCTGTCACTAGCTAGCAACTCTGCATCAGAAGAACCGGAAGAAGGCTAGGATGACTTGTGCAGGAGCGTACAGACCATAATTTAAAATGAGGGAATAGATTGGGCAGCACTGGCACAAACAACTTTGCGTTGTAGACTCACGGGACCATATTCTACGCTTAGGCTTGGGGATTACGATAAAAGATTTCAGTATGGAAGTAAATTGCTTCTCGACCTCACCACAAACATTCGAGAATAAAAGTAATAGATTGTTGCAGCTTAAAGTAGAACTACGATTGTGTTCTGTTTTTATTTGTGATGGCGTTCAACTACTTGGCGATGCATTAGGATGTCGTGAAGTTGCAGATCTTGCTATCAAGGCTATTACTACGACTTTTTGTGCCACAGCTGCCACTACACACTGAAGATGTCACCTCCATTGGTGACGAAAAGTTTGTAGAGTTATGGCTCAGTTCAGCGAGCTAAGCAACATAACATTAGGATGTGATCAGTGCAGTCTCTAGCGAGTGATAGTTAGGTTGACTTCTACCGATCCGTTTCTATTGAGAAACGGCAAAGCACCGCTGCTTAATTCAAGTAAATCATCTCGAGATTCACCAGTAATGTTTCAACAATAAGTTCTGGCAACACCCTGGCCTGTCTACTGGAATGAAGCTGTGCGCGTGTACGATGTCACCTCCAAGTGTTAGTTGGTTGTTCTCCGAGGTGAGAGAAGCGGTTGCAGGCGTTGTCACTAATTGTGGTGACGTCTTCAGTGCGTAGTGGTGGTGGTATTAGCCTCTGTAGTAGAAGCTGAGCGTCACGAAAATCAGAGATCTGCAGATTAACATGTGGTCTATGTAGTAGCCTATTTGCGTTTTTAATGAGTGTTTTAGCAATGAATGTGGTGCGAGGTTGCTTCTCATTTGTCGGCACACCATAAGCCAACCCGGTAACCTTAAATGCAATAGTCGTCCACGGTATACCTCTGGTCAGGTATATTCGTTACTGTGGCATAAAGGTTCTGCCACTTATGCTCTAAGCGAGGGACCTGAAGAGGGTAGGAGAAACCTCGCGGATGCACAGTCCGTGCGAAGTCCAGCGACACTTGGCCTTACTGTCTATCAGAATGAGACATGGTGAATTGTAAAGCGTTTGGATGAGATGGGGTCGAAAAACGCATAAAATATCGACCATCCGCCAGCACAGTGATGCTGTCACGCATTAATTGTTGATGGACAAGACTGAGTAGACTTGCTTAAAGGTCCCTATACATAATGGTATTATCAGGTTGACGATGAGCTCTGAAAAGGTAGGACCAGGTCACCACTATCTGGCATGAGGTTTAACTGATTATCCCATTCTGAGCGGTTCAGCATGCCACTGAGTTGGGGATTTTTGCAAACCACAGCGCTGAGCAGTATACCATTGCTGATCACTCATGAGGTGCTATTCTTAGGAAGAAGGTCGTTCTGTTGGGTGCGGAATATTCCATCGAGACCAAATAGCACAACGGGTCTACAAATTCCTGGCTGCAGTCTGTCCTATGTTTCGACACTGAGGCGGCGGGTTTTCAGCATGCGTATATGGGCGCTGCCGTCAAACTGACTGTAGATTCGCGCTCTGTTAGAATCGCTTCGACCCCACCAGACAGATTGGTCCCCCTTGCTCTCTCTGAGCATATCAAAACCAGCGCCGCTAGGCATGAAGAAACCTCGGTATTGTGACTAGTCGCAGTGTCATATTTGATAGTGTGGTTCAACTAAGAATCAGATGCTACCCACGAAGGTCAAGAGGTTAGACAGGCTCGTTGATCAATACAACAGCCTGTTCCTATTATTTACAGGTACCTGAATATAGGCATCAGTAGAGGGAACAATTCCGTGCATTCTCTTTGTGGATCCTAGGCACGCTTCTGTCAAATGTTGTGCAGTGACACAAGGCAAATGTGTGCTAAAGTCGCATCCAAATTATCTGAGGATAATTTTACTGACCAAAGCTGTACTTGGGTTTTCACCCAGAGAATTGAAGTGAAGCAATTAAGAACAGTAAGCAGATCTGTGGGTTATTAAGCCAGTTTCCTATCCGGTGGGTAGTAATTTGGTTTAGTGTCTAATTTAACTTTTTTTTGAACTATAAGCAATAGGATTGGCGCATACACATATACAAGAAATTCCAATTGGTAGAAAAGTGCTATATACATTTTATCTTGCTAACCTACTTGTCGGTAGGTAATATCATACTTTATTTACTATCCCACTTGTAGCTAGCCCAATGTGCTTCAGTAAGTTGTGCGAGTGAAATATGGGAATGGACCCACAGGACTAAAGGGAGCGACATACGTTGAAATTTTTCCATTGAGCATCCTGGGGAAACTGCAAGCATCATGTTGTCAGCTGAAGAGAAGAGGATATCCACTGGACATATTTACCTCAAACCCGACACCGTCTATCTTAAAAATCCAACAGTGCACCATAACCTAGCCAAACATACATCAGTTATCAATGCGTCACATATTGGAGACAGGCACATTGTTGAGACAAAGAATATACTTACGGAACAGCTGAAAGGTATACGTAATCAGCTGGTCAGAAGCCTCATTCGAGTCCGAGAACTGGAAGACCAACTTCGGAGCATACCCGCACTTAAGAAAAGAGTTGTTGATTTGACTTCACAGGTGGCTAAGCAGAAATCCTTCTCCGACTATCTATTACGCCTGTTATCCATGTCACCACAAAACGATAAGCACGGACACGAGACAGTTACGTCATTTTTATCATCTAGCATGGATAGTCGCTTCATTTCTGTTGAAGGAAACAATCCCGTTAACGCTAATACAGTAGCACGTTCCAGTGAGACTAGCTTTATCGATCTGTCGCTTGGTATTTCGTGTACCGGGATCACGACGAATTGTTACGGTCAAGTAATCGGCCACAACTGCGCCTTACGGGTAGCAACTGAGTTAAAAAACTTCGTCGAGCGGAACGATAAACTTCACCATAGATGGTTTGACGATAACCGGTTAGGCGAATTTATCCAGTGTTGTCGTGATGCCGACTGGCAGCACATTTTGCAGATGCTTCAGATAATTGGTCCTACACCTTCACCGTTGCCAGCCCCACCATCGGCTGTGGAACTGGAGTCTTCATTAGTCACCAAGTGCCTCAATGCCTCGGTAAGTAGCATGGAGCCATGTATACCTCACATTGGGCAAGTAATTGGTGAAACTTACACCGGTTCGTGTCCGAAGGATCTTGCTGCATGTGTACATCAAGATTTGGAAAGCTGTGAGCTTTCGTGGGACTCACAGGAGGATAGCTTTGTGATCGATAGACATCTCTCACTGCCACTGCTTGGAGTGGGTAGTCACGCTTGCCTATTGTACCACGATTCACATGTGCCAGATGACATCTCGTACCGAATGTTCATGGCTTCGGGGATATGTGAAAGTAGCAAGGAAACGGTAAGTATCATTTGCGTTTCTGTACTGCACGCTTCGCATTCCATTTTGTTGGAAGGTGGAAAAAGTCGCAAGCCATGCGTCACATTGGGGAACAAATGTGTTTCATTTAGACCCGGAAAGTCAGTGATGATACATTCCATTCCGACATTGAAAGGGGGGATCCCCGAACTCAAGCTTGGATCAGAGTGTCATGCTGAAATAATTAGTGTAAGGAGAGGCGGCAGTTTAGTCAAGCAGCCGTCAATCCTATGTGATTTCGAAATGTCTCGAAGCGTCACCAATTTATCCGATACGAACGCTAAATCATTGGTTTATTCGGTGATTGAGACAACAGACGAACTGGTGGTTTCAGAAACCAAGGAAGTATCCATTCCACATTCGTCCACACTTGTACAGAATGCGGTCCGATCCGGCATTACGTCAACACTTGGTGCAATCCAGCATGCGGCGGACATGAAAAGCACGTTAGCTGCACCCAACAACACTTCCGTACAGTGTGTTTTGAAATCAAATGCACACCCAACTGATTTGCGACCTAAAACACAGATACCAGCTCCGGGATCATTAACGATAAGGCTAACAAAAGCTCCGGTGTCACCCGCAGCAGCAGCAACTGGCGAACCACGTATCGGACAAGTCCAGACTGTAATTTCCAACGAATCCATGGGAGGTACTGTTTTGTCTTCTTGCAAAGTTGCCAAAAGAACGGATACAGTGTATGATCGCAAGTAAGTTTCAAATGGATTTCCACCTTTGGATCATTGTGTAAAGTGGAAAAGATTTTCGACTACCGTGGGCTCTTTTATCAAAATACGACGTATGTTGATTTGATTCTACCAATCATAAATTTGACAAATGTGCTAGTTCTGCAGCATGTCTGACATCTGGTGCAAATTCGGTAAGTTTAGGTTAGTTGGTTAAACTCTTTTGACCTGAAGACTATTGATGGCGATTATATGATAGTACGCACTATCTGCTAAGCGCAGTAGTGTAGGATGTAATGAGTTACTTTCAAACGCAGGCAACTAGGGACAAAGGAAGCAGGTCTTATTCACTGCGTTCCATTTAACTGCTTATTGCTTTAAAACTCTCAAACAAGACCAATAATTGTTGCGTTTGGCTGTTTCTAGCGTTGTACTACCTCACACTACTGTGCACTGAAACCCTGCAACGCCGCATTGATCCAACCAGATTAGTTTGGAGCTTTGGCTGTGCTCTGAATAAGCATGTTTGCTAACGAATTATCTTACGTTTAACCAACATCTCATTTGAAAATTCCCGGGCATCCACACTTGAAATTGTCAATGAAACTATTGCTGCGTTATTAAACGCTGACGTTATATCGCAAATAGTGTGAACGCAGTCCGCCGATGAATCCCTCCTACTGGGATCAATTTAGTGAGAGGTGTCTTTCCGCTCCTAACATCGATGGTCAGCATGCATACGAATATCAATTCCTCACCGTCAGTGTATATCAAGCATAGGGTACTTTCAACTGAAACAGGGTAAGCTAACTCTCTAAACAGAAGCAAATCAAGATGGGTACATATATCTAGTTTACTGGAAAACAGAGCCCAGCCATTATTCACAAAGTGAATTACGTTCTCTGAACTTTCCTCCGGGTGAACAACTACTCGAGTTAAAATAAAGTCACACAGTTCTCCGACGAGTTACGTGTGCCATCAGAACACGTCGAGCGACTGGGTGCTTAAGTGTAAGCTATCGGGCATTGCAACATATTAAATTGAAACCGTCACATCCCAACAGTGAGTTAGGGATGTTAGGTGGTGTGTTAGTGATATCGCGCCATAAGATCACGTCCATTTAGATGTGCGAGGTGCATTTGAAATGTTTACCCCACTTCGTTCGCCTGACAGCACGAGACAGGAGTTAGCAAATGAACCCAACAATTTTGATAACCGAAGTGAAGAACGGTGACTGTATGCCAGAACCCACACCGGCTTCATGAATGTCCCGGAGCAAAATGCAGCTTAACTGTAATTTCATTTTTTGAGTTGATTGATTCATGAGTTTTTCCTTTCGGCGGTTATGAATTATGTTATTAGCTAACGATGGAATGAGCTGCTGATTTATGCAGAGCCATAGCTACTTGTGAAGTGGAACAGGCGCATTCTATCTTTTATTAAGGTTGACGGTTGCAAAAATAAGATTTAACTTCAAGCTTCTCCATGAAGAACAGGTAGGACTGATACGATGTGAGTATGGTGCGCTGAGGCTGGTGGTGGCTAGATCCTGACAGATGGTCTACCCACTGCTGCTACTGTTGCGCCATAGTCTCATGTCCTGGGCGCCTCCACGTGGCAACCGCTGGGTGGGAGTTAGATTTCGCCCTTCTCCCTGCTAAGATCCAGGACACCAATCCGCATGAGTCAGCTAACTGACCATGTGCTAGACCCGCTGCCTTTCGGGTGTTCATTTAATCGAAGGCTTTGGCTGAGGACCCGAGTCGTTCTCCTGTCAGGATTGGGCGCCCTGGCAGTATCCTAGTCCATCCTCTCCGGAGGTTAGGAAGTGGTCGATGGCCCACTTCCCGTAAAACCTAGCCATAGGAGACAACACGTTACGGGTGATATTCTCAATGCTCGATTGGCGTAGAGCACGAGTGCCACGCATTGTCTCTGACGGTGGGAGGACACCTCCGGGTGTTCAATGGTTTGCTACTGCCCGCCTCAAGCCAGGCAGTCCCTGGTCAAATTGGTGCAAACCCGCCAAAAACCCACCTGCGTCTGGCCGTGGTCGCAGGTGCGTATCCAATTACGGTCGCAAAACATATGATAACTGTTCCAGAACCTCAAAGGCTGCATGTGACGGCTGTCAAGCAGATCCCAATCTGTCTCTGCAATCACATTCCCGAGCTGGATCTGCTCTCCACTGCCTTGTGGGTCAGGCTATTGAGCCAAAGGCTCCGGGCGGAGTCCCTCAAGCAAACCTCCAAACCACCCACTGTCTTGTGGGTCAGGCTATTGAGCCAAAGGCTCCGGGTGGAGTCCCTCAAGCAAACCTCCAAACCACCCACTGCCTTGTGGGTCAGGCTATTGAGCCAAAGGCTCCGGGTGGAGTCCCTCAAGCAAACCTCCGAAGGACAACGACCACCTCGCGTGCGATTGCCCACCAATGCAATCGTATGCCTGCGCGCAAAGCACTCAGCATCGGGTGCTGGAACGTGCGCACACTACTGACCGGAACTCCAGCGAGCGCCCGGAGCGACGCACTGCACTGGTCGCAATGGAGCTGGCGCGATACCACATCGATATTGCGGCGCTCAGTGAAACTCGGCTCGCTGAGCAAGGTAAGTTACATGAAGCAGGTGCTGGCTACACATTCTACTGGGTGGGCAACGCCGCCTCAGCACCACGTGAACATGGGGTCGGATTTGCAATATCCGACCGCCTGAATGGCCAGCTGGTGGGTGAACCAACGGGCATCAGCGCGCGGCTGATGACTGTTCGCCTACGACTCGGAAGAGGTAAGTTTGCTACTTTTATAAGCACGTACGGTCCGACCATGTGTTATCCTGATGACACGCGTGATCAGTTCTACACTGAGCTATCCTCCGTGATACGGTCTGTGCCGAGGAGCGACCGACTATTTCTGCTGGGTGATTTCAACGCGCGCGTTGGGCGTGATGCATCAGCGTGGACAGATGTTATCGGTGCGCATGGCATTGGTTCAGCGAATGCGAACGGTGACAGGCTGCTCTCACTGTGTGCCACTCACTGCCTGACGATCACGAACACTCGGTTTGCACTGAGTGCGAGTGATATAGCAACTTGGACGCACCCACGGAGTGGTCACGCTCACCTGCTCGACTATGTCATCGTACGTCAGCGTGATATGCGTGAAGTGCGCATGACACGTGTACTGCGTGGAGCTGAGTGTGACACTGCTCACAAATTGGTTCGGACCAAACTGTACATATATTTTCGTAAATCTATGTATTGCACTCCCGCCGTGAATCGGCGTAAATTTAACATTCTCTCCCTCGGTACTGTGGCGAAACGTACTGAGCTGGAGAAGGCGATGGCTGCACGCCTGTGTGGTGATGTGGACTGCATAGCCACAGTGGGCGACCTGTGGCACCACATTCGCGACCAGGTGACAGCTGCTGCGGAGGAGACCATCGGGCGCGCAAACTGTAAGCGGCCTGATTGGTTTGTTGACAACAATGTGAGGATTGACGCATTGGTGTCAGAGAAGAATGCAGCATTTGCTGCACATGTTGCAGTCTCCAGTGACTTGGGGAAGAGTAGTCAGTTTCGCAAACTTCGACGGCGACTGACCCGAGAGCTCCGTCGCATTAAAAATGCATGGTGGACGGAGAAGGCGAAGCAGATGGAATGCTACGCCGAACGCCGTCAACACAAGGAATTCTTTGACTCCTTGAAGGCGGTGTATGGACCGAGATTGGAGCCGCTGAGGACACTGATCGATGGTAGTTCAGGCGCTACCTGCACCCAGACTGCAGACATAATGCAGGTCTGGCGGAAACACTTTGACTGTCTCTTGAACAACCGTTCAGAGATCGACTGGCCTACATTGAACGGCCTGAAGCAACACAATGGGAAGACGGGTCTGGCTGACACGCCGACACTGGATGCGACGCAGAGAGCACTTGCTCAGCTGCGAAACGGCAAGTGTGCCGGAGGTGATGGGATCCCACCTGAAGTATTGAAACACGGTGGACCCGCGTTGTTGACTGCGCTGCACCACTTGGTGCAACGCGTGTGGATTGAGGAGGAGGTGCCTTCTGAGCTGAAGGATGCCCTTGTGCTACCACTGTACAAGGGCAAAGGGAGCAAGCAATGTTGCACGAATTATCGTGGCATCAACTTGCTGAGTTGTGTGGGCAAGGTGATTGCCCGAATCCTGCTCAATCGCCTCGTGAGTCAGATTGTGGAACCAAACGTGGCGGAAGAGCAATGTGGATTCCGTTCGGGTCGCAGCACTATAAATATGGTGTTTGCGGCTCGTCAGTTGCAAGAGAAGTGCAGAGAACGACACCAGCCTTTGTACTCGCTTTTTGTTGATTTCACCAAGGCATTTGATACAGTGAACCGCGAGGCACTGTGGCTGGTGTTGGGTAAGTTTGGTTGCCCGCGTAAGTTTGTAAGTTTAATTGAATGTCTGCACAGTGGTATGCGAGCGAGGGTGCAGCTGAGTGGAGAGACCTCTGATGACTTTACAGTTGTCTCTGGTGTGAAGCAAGGTTGTCTCTTAGCTCCTGCCCTGTTTAATATCTATCTTCATGCAATGTTGTCTTGTGCTTTTGATGCGGCTTGTGCTTACGGTGTTCGTGTGGAGCACCGTATTGATGGTGGGTTGCTGAACATCCGTCGTTTCGGTGCGAGAACTCTAGTCTGTGAGACAACTATCCGTATGTTGCTGTTTGCTGACGACTGTGCGTTGTTTTCACACAGCGCGGATGAGTTGCAGCACATGACTAGTGCTCTGGCTTCGACAGCGGCCAAATTCGGGCTCACCATCAACACAAGCAAAACTGTCTGTCTCTTTCAGCCTTCACCGGAGGTGCAATCTTCAATATTGCCGCAAATCAGCATTGGTGCTGAAGTATTGGAAACCACCTCCCGCTTCTGCTACCTTGGGAGTGTGATGTCGACTGATCAGCAGCTACACGTTGAGTTGCGTAATCGCGTGTCGAAGGCGGCAGCGGCATTCGGGAAGCTTGAGTACCGAGTGTGGAACAACC